GATGTGCCCGGGGCCTGTCCCCTCACACTGCTTTGGCATGGTCAGCCTTGAGCCTCCCAGCTGTGCCCAAGGCCAGATCCTGCTGATTTTGCAGCACCTCTGGGCTTTGCTTTACCCTCTAAGGAGCTTCTTGGGGTGGCTGGTTCGTACGGGAGGGCAAGGAGGGCCTGGTGGCCTTGGCTTCCCCAGGGCATCCACGGACCCCTCGTCCCCCTCGGGCTCGGTGCCACGCTCCTCTTCCCGCAGATGGCCATGCTGCTGAAGCTCCAGGAAGCCGCCAACTACATCGAGTCTCCAGACCGTGAGACCATGGTGGATCCCGACTTGCAGTCGACTCTGTGAGGCCCGGACATGCCGGCCCAGGCGGAGGGGAGCCACCGCCAGCCACTGCTCCTGCCAGGCTGCTCTCCTTTCCCTTTGGTATCCCGGAGCGCAGGGCTGGCAAGCGAGTGGAGAGGACCGGGGCTCTGGCGCATCCCAGCGGAGCAAGGGGAATCTCGGCTCAGCCGTGGGAGAGCGCGAGGTGCCGTCTCCCCTCCTGACCCTGGGGGTAGGAGAATCCTGGTTTCTCTTCTTGGTTTTTTTCTGTCTCTATTGCAAACTCTCGGGCTTTGGGGCCAGGGCGACCGATGTGGCTGAGCCCCCGCTTCTGGGAGCCGCAGGAAGGCCCCTGCGTGGGGCAGGGACCCCGCGGGAGCTACCTGGGCCAAAGCTGGGGGGCACAGGAGGAGCGTGTGGCTGCAGGACCAGAGTGTGGGTGCGAGGGTCTCCAGCTCCCTCGCCATCCAGCCAGGCATAGCAGAGGGCAGGTGACGAGGGAGCCGCTGCTGTGGGGAAAGGAAAGCGCCTGCCGGGCACTGGCCGGGGAGGAGTGTGGCTCTTGCCGCTGTCTTTGTACGTTCCCCGGTTCACCTGCATGGCAGCCGCTGTGACCAGGACAGCCCAATAAACCCTGCTTTGGTTATTTTATTTTGTTTCCCCAACTCCCATTTTCCTTTGGCCGAGTCCAGACTTCACTTTGGTCCCTTTTTTGTTCTGGTTTGCTCTCCTGGCCTGGAGCCCGTGGCCCGGTGCCCACCGCTTCGCTGTAAGCAGCTCCCTTTCCCTTTGGTTTCTTTTGCAGTTGTTGGTTCCACTACTCAAACCACCTCTGTCATGAAACTGGTGCTCACTGGACGATCTCCAGTCCCTGAACCCACCTCCTGGGGCCTCACAGTTTGGCTGAGGTGGGACTTGGCAGCCGGTGGCAGTGGGATGCTCCTGGAGCAGCCCTTTGCCTGACGGCTCCCCCCTCCCCAAAAGCACAAGGCGGAGTCTGGCCCTGGGGCCGGGGTCTCATGGTCATCCTACCAGGTCAGGATGCCATGGGCTATCCCCTGCCCGAGGCCTGGGCAGGGGGAGGGTGCTGCTGCCCCCTCCCTGGGCAGCCAGATGCCTGCCACATCCCCTCAGTGCTGGGGGGCACAACCTGCCCCGTGTCCTCGGTGCTGCCAGGCCTGGGGGTGCGGGTTGGTGAGCAGTGCCTGGGGCCAGTCCCCATGCCCCTGTGCCTTCCTGTGCCCTAGGGCCTGGCAGGGTCTCGCTGTGCCCCACGTCAGTGCTCCGGGGACACCTAGGGCTGCCGTGTGTCCCCTTGGCCCTACCGTGCCATGTCACAGGTGAGGCTCCTGGCACAGAGGGGATCAGCCCCGGTGCTGCCGTGGTGCCTTAATCCCCGGCCGTGCGGGAAGGGGGCACGTGGGGCTTGGGCCAGCGCTGGCACAGCCTGCTCCGGCTGCAGTGTCCTCTGACTGTCCCCAGAGCC